TTATCTTGGAGTAAGATGTTTCTTTGTACCTTCGGCCTTTTTACTTACTTTTCGATCAATGCTGGATTGGGAACGGTATCATGAAACCATTGAAAACAAAAAAAACATTGAAACAAATGCAAGAAATGAAAGTGGTTTAGAAAGTAAAACTGACCTAGAAGCGGATTTAACGGATCCACTTTTATCAAAAACGGACTGTGATAATATTGTAATGTTTTTTTAAACCTCTTTGAAGAGGACCTATATGGCGTGTTTGATCTTGTGATTTTTTATTTAAAATATAGTAGATTGAATCGTTAAATTAAATATTAATTTTTTTTTAATTAATTAATATATTACAGACTAAAATCTCTTCAACAAAAACGAAATATAATATTTTCTATAAGTGGAGAAAACATCAAATTGCAATAAAGCTTTGGTTAAAGTTCTTTCTCCGCCGATTTATGCGAGTGTACCCACCTTACGCGATTCTTTTACTTATTATTGCATATAATGACTTTGTCAGAAAAGCATATCATGAACGCATAAATACCTCAAATTTGGTCCCTCATTTATTATTACAAGAAGCAAAATTTACTTTTTGGACCATTCCTCCTGAAATAAAGGTATTTATCTCTATAATACCCCGATCACTTTATCAAGATCACGGGGTATTAAGTAAAAATACCCCGATCACTATATCAAGATCACGGGGTATTTTTATTACTAATAACCCATTTTTCTTACATTTATATGTAATAACAATAATTTATTAAATATGCAATATAGTACTATTTATGTATACCAATAATTGTCATCGGATATGTAGAATTGACTCGCTTTGGTGCATACCTTACAAATTATTTCTTTGGAAGACCAAATATTGGAGCATGGATAAGTCGAATACTTTGTAACATAATTCTTATGATTGTCCGGTCAGAATTGTTATCATTATATGGTGATTATCATGACCGATATCTGACAACAAACGCTCATGTTTTTTTTGGCGGGCACAATTTGTGCAATTTGGTACAGGGAAATAATTCGCCTCGGACTATTGCCACTGAGTTTGAATGAAGAAAATGTATTAGTTAGTAAATCCAGCAATTTTAATGAGGTTACTCATACAAATTTAAGTTTTATGAAATGGTTTATTAAGAAATTTCCTAGTCGCCATCAGCTTATTAGCTTGTTTTTTGACTTGGGGTGTTATATCATACTTTTTATAATTTTCTGTACGCTTCCTCATTTATCTGAAAAGATTCTAGGAATGCCTCGTATAAGACATGAGAAATATGAGGTTAAATTAGAAAATAGTTTTGGCGGTTTTCTCTATGCTAGCCTAATTCTTGTAGGCCTCCTATCTCGTGACGGTTCATTTGTCAATGCATGCTCATGTAATTTTCTACGCTTTTGTGGACGGATTTCGTTTAGTATATATTTATTACATCCAATCGCACTAACATTCGTGAACGAATGCTTGACTTCGATTGGTATAAGCGGTGCGGAAAAGGAAGTTGATCAACGGGAGAAGGCTAATAATATATTAGATGCAGTGATAATATCATATTTGCTGACGATCATTCTTTCGTGGTTATATTACATACTAGTTGAAAAGTCTTCAATGAATTTGGCTAACTATATAGCGAAAAGATGGTTAAATGTGGCGAAGATAGAAAAAAAAGATGGTTAAATGAAATGAAAGTTGGCAGAACCTGACTATAAAACTTAGAGCTAGGAATCGATGAGTTTTGATTATTGATTTGTCACAAACCTTAGATTTTCAATCAACGAAAATTAGTATAGCATTAAATTTATCAATTGTACTATTATCACTATGTTACTTAATATTCAATTTGCATGACATATAATTTGCTAATTTACATTTTAAAAACATTATAAATTTATCCTAACTATTAGGATTATTTATCGACTTGTATTTAAAAATCGGTTTAGCCGACTAAGTCATAATCAAACATCTTTGTTTAATCTTTGGAAATTATTCACAAATTTTTTAAATTTAACTGGTTACTGTAATTTTTAATATAGTCTATTATAAAAATTGATTTTTTGAAAAATCGGCTGACTAAGCCGATAAAATTGACTAATGCAAAATCGATTACTAACACTATTAGGAATAATAAAATCATTTATTTTTATATGACGCTTTAGAAATATAATTCTTTGATTTCGATAATATTCTCGTCGCATCCCTGACATTTCTGCATCCGAAAACAAGCGTTCACTTAGTATGCTTGTTTCAGGAGTCGCAAGAAATATATAAGTAATATGGATACAATTTTTTCACATGGCAAATGCAAATGCACAATCAGCGTTTAAAATTCAGATTTAAAATTATGTTCTCAAACGAACTTAATTTAAATTATTAATGTTCTCAAAAAATTTTTAATGTTTATTATAGAGAACATTAATTTGTTAATAATACTCATAATTTTATAAAAATGTTCTCAAATATATAATATTCAATAGTATAATCTGTTAGATGCAGCTTTGAAAGTTGACTTAAATTACTTAATTAGTTATATGATAACAGATAAGATCAATTAAAAAGTACTTGATAATAAATAGTTAAGTATATTTCTTCTAATACAATACGTGATATGTACGTACAGTAGCCACCAAAAGTAACGCCCGATTTGCAGATCATCTCACATGAGCAAATAAAACGGCTGTGTT